ACTTTATTCATTTTGTATCCCCCCATAAGCCCCTCCCTCCTCCCCTCCTTTCTGCATGCATGCCCCTCCCCATGTCCATTGATTGGGGAGGTCCTCCTCTCCTTCTTTCTGATCTTAGTCTATCAGTTCTCATCAGAAGTGGCTGCATTGTCAGGGTTCTAGGTTATCTCCATGGATAGTCCTTGGATGGAGTATGAGTCTCTGGGAAGTTCCCTGTGTTCAAATTTTCTTGTTCTGTTGCTCTCCTTGTGGAGTTCCTGTCCTCTCCAGCTCTTACTATTTCCCACTTCTTACATAAAATTCCATTCACTCTGCCCAACAGTTGGCCATCAGGCTCAGAGAATTCTTTGTAGAGGAATATCGAATGGCAGAGAAGCACTTAAAGAAATGCTCAACCTCATTAGCCATTAGGGAAATGCAAATCAAAACAACCCTCAGATTTCACCTTACACCCATCAGAATGGCGAAGATAAAAAACTCAAGTGACAACACATGCTGGAGACATTGTGAAGAAAGGGGAACCTTCTCCACTGCTGGTGGGAGTGTAAACTTGTACAACCACTCTGGAAATCAATCTGGTGCTTTCTCAGACAACTAGGAATAGCGCTTCCTCAAGATCCAGCTAATTTTAAGTAAGACATTTTCTAGTACACTGCTGTTTTTCACTGTTCGAGTTTTCTTGAAAAAAGAGTAACAAGGAAGAATTCAATCCTCCATAAGCATTCATGACTCTTAAAAGTAATACAAAAAATTAGTGACCAGTAAGAGAGAAAAATGTGGGTCTGGAGGGATGCCTCAGAGGGCAAAAGCACATAAGCTCAGACATAGAACCATAGTTTAAATCCCATCATCCATGTCGGGCAGTTTCCCATTTGCCTGGGACTTCAGCTCCTGGTGGTTCTGTATTTCTGGATTCCAGAGGCAACAGCACCCCATGAACAAATCCCCCCACAGACATAGAGATATACAGAAAATTAAAACTAAAAACAATTAATTATAATAATCAAAACAGTCTCATTTTCATTTTTAGAGCTAAGCAATAAAAGTAACTACTAAAACTTATTAAGCCTCATTAAATTAAAGTTAATAAACATGTAAACCTTTGACCTTATGAAATTATTTCAAATAGGAGATCTATCGACTCAGTCAGTGAGTATAATGTAATGTTTGGAAAATTTGTTATAACAAAGTAATTAATAAGGAATAAATGTAAATCATCACTAAAATGTTCAGTATTTATTGACTTAATATTCTTTAACATAATTCATATTTTATTGTAGATACATACTTAATATTTGTAGTCATAGATTATGCTCTTCATGTTACCTTTTTGGTTATGACTATTAATGCCATTTCAAAATGAGCAGTTTGTAGGAATAACATGGTTGATTCATGATTAAGGACACACTACTTACATTAGGACAATCAAGGATTTGTTTGACATATTTCACAATGTAAAACATTTGGAAATTCTTCCTCCTGCTATAAACCTGAGAACAAACTGAGATTTGTGTTTTATTGTTTTAATTATAATTATATATTATATATAAGAAAATTACCATTTGACCAAAATGGATACTAACAGATGAATGGCAAAATAAATATTGCAGGTACTATTTCCTTATTGATGGGATGTCTCAAGATCCCAGAACATCTCTTAAACCACAGGTTATGCCAAACTTATATATGAATTTTCCCATTGTATGGTTATAGTAGTTTAACATAAAAATTAGGTACACAATTTGCACAATGGAATACTTCTCAGTTATTAAAAACAAGAAAATCATAAAATTTGCAGGCAAGTGGTGAGAACTAGAAAAGATCATCTTGAGTGAGGTATCCCAGAAGCAGAAAGACACATATGGTATATACTTACTCGTAAGTGGATATTATCTATATAATATAGGATAAACATACTAAAATCTACACTCCTAAAGAAGCTAAACAATAAGAAAGACCCTAGTGAAGGTGCTCAATCCTCATTCAGAAAGACTAATGCTATAGATATCGGAAGTAGGAGAAAACAGGAAACAGGACAGGAGCCTACCACAGAGGGTCTCTGAAAGACTACTATTGATCGAAGTATCAGAGCAGAGACTGAGACACATAGCCAAACGTTGGGCAGAGTGCAGGTTATCTTATGAAAGAAGGGGGAGATAGAAAGACCTGGAAGAGACAGGAGCCTGACCTGAGCCCTGGGGCCCCTGAAGTGAATGCTACCCTAACCAAGAATAATGCATGGGAAGGACCTAAAACCTCTGCTCAGATGTAGCCCATAGACTTAGTCTCCAAATGGGGACTCAAGTAGAAGGAGAAGGAGTATTCTCTGGCATGAACTCAGTGTCAGGCTCTCTTATAACTTTTCCCTGGGGTTGCAGCCTTGCCAGGTCACAGAAGAATACAATGCAAACAGTCCTGATGAGACCTGATAGTCTAGGGTCAAATAGAAGGGAAGGAAGACCTCCCCTATCAGTGGATTAGGGGAGGGGCAGGAAGGGAGGATGGCATTGGAAGGAGATGAGAGAGGGTGCCAAAGCTTGGATACAAATTGAATAAATTGTAATATAAATGACAATAAAAATAGGAACGTGAATTAATAACAAAATTAATAAGTGCGTCAATAGTAACTATAGGAAATAATCAAGTTATGTAGTCTTTTTCAATGGATCATAGACTTTTATAGTTACCTTTAGAAGAGCACTCTATTACTTCTATTTGGCATATTCAAATTGCCAACATCCCTACTTATTCACTTTTGGACTATGGTTAAGTACAATACAGGATAATTGCTGACAAGGACTTTGATACCATGGGAGTCAAACTGATTGTTGAGACAATTACTAAATGCTCCTAGGCAGGTTTATGCACTGCACTGAAGCAGGAGATTGCTGGGTAATGGCTGTTTCATGCCCTTAGGGAACAAATCAAGTTCATATAAAATTTCATTATTTCCTTAAAAATATAAATCAAGAAATTAGCAAAGAGGAAAACAGTAAAATGAGCAGAAAGTAAGATAATTTAGTGTTGTGTACTTAGCAACAACTCTGTTAATATAATGGGATCTAACTAAAATGCTCACAGTAGCCAAATGGATAGAAAAGCTACCTATACGTGCAGCTGTAGCCTGTACAGAAGAATCTCATTTTAGTCTTAGGAACAAATACTGATTAATATGAAATAATTAGTATTTTTCACTCATGGAAACAAAAATGAAGATAGGAGTAGTTGTAACAATAGATGACAAAACAAGCTTCAATCAGACACAAGAAAATAAAACACAAAGAAGAAAAGTGTAAAAATCAAGTGGTAAATTTTTGAGGAGAAACAAAACTTTCAAATGCATGCACCTAGTATGAGAATGACTAATTTATATCATACAGTTCCAAACATCAAAAGAGAAGAAATGGGCGTAAATATAACAACAGCTGTAATTTTAATAATCCAATTATAAAAATCACTTTAGATTCAGAAAGAATAGTAAAATATTCAACTTCATTAACATTTAAGTTCAAAAATATCAAATATTCTCTAACAGTAAGAAAACAAATCTTGTGAAGAAGACTGATGTTGTCTGGCATATTTCTTTTTAACTTTTTATTGGCTTCTTGTGAATTCCACATTATACACCCCAGACCCACTCTTTTCTCCCTCCCAACATACCCACCCTCACCTCATCCATGAAACCTCCCCACCATCAGAGAAAAAAATAAATAAAAGCTCCTTGTGGAAGCTGTAGTGTGTTTCAATGTGCCCCAAAGTATTCCCTATTGTCCACACTTCTTTGCCTTAAAATGTTTATTGTAAAGGCTAATCGATCTGGTATAAGGCTTCCTGTTTCTGTTACTCCATCCAGACAGACCTCCCTGGGACCTCTCTCAAATATCCTGTTACAGCAGGTGCGTGGCAGGCTCAGCTCTCTTGCTCTCATGACCCACTTGGGCCAGCTCTCCTGCCTGCCACTGTAGGCAAAGGCAAAAGAGAGGGGAGGAGGTCACTCCTCTTGCAACACCACCACATTGCAGATGGGAGGCAGGGCCAGCCTTACACACTCACTCCAAAATCCCACATCCAAGGCCAGCTCTACTGTGCCGCACAAGTGAGGTGCAGGGCTTGCTCTCTGGAGTGCTACAGCAGGAGTAGCAAGAACAGCCCTCCTGCCTACTGTAGGCGCCAAGGGGTGAGAGGGGGGCATCTCTCTGTCTGTCTCCCATGTCACCATATGGCAGACAAATGGCGGAGCCTGCTCTCCTGTGCTCACCCATTTGAGGCGAGCTCAACAGTGCTGATAGGGTCAGCTCTCCTGCTCTCATGATTCCAGCACCAGCTCTCCAAAGATGCTCAGGTGAAGGATGGAGTCAGTTCTGCACAGCCTTTAGAAATCAACATGACCCCAGGTGGCAACCCAAGTCAGAAACAGAAGTTCCTTTGAGGGTAACACATCCTGTTGCTTGCAGGACCGCCACTGAGCCAGATGAGGCCCCCTGAGTCTCCAGTTCTGCCTCTCTTTGCTGTATCACATTCTTCTGTTTCTCTTTCTCTTCCATGTCTCCACCACTTACTCATTCCTCCTAGTGCTGCCTGGGGTCTCTAACTAGCTGGGGTCCTCTCAGGAGACTCTCAGGAGTGCTATGCCCTGTTCACACATCATGGCACCAGGCAGGAGTCACCTCAAATCTGGTCTGCTCTTCCTTGCCCTAGGCTTGCACAGTTCTGAACTGGTGACTGGTGTTCATCTCAGGCTAGTGCCCTGTCCAGTCCACATGAGTTTTCCCGATCGTCTTGGGCTCTCCCTTGCCTATTTGAGAGGCCCCTTGTGAGGGTCATCTGCTGCAGGCTCACTCCTGCCTTGCTTCCAGTCCTGGGAGCACATCAGGGCCTGTTGGTGCCGGAATGCTGGTGGTCTCAGACTAGCTCCATGTTGGTGTCCCCTGGCACCAGACTGGTGGTGGTCCCAAGTTTGTTTTCCTTTTCTTGTGTGTGTGTGTGTGTGTTTTGGGGGGTGTGTTAGGATACTAATCTTTCAGGTGTTTACAGGTCAGAACTCTAATGCAGACATAGCCTATCTCTTCTCTGCCACCTACTGATACACATGTGTCACAGCAGCCACATCTGCAATGCCTCTAGGGGCAAGGTCTGGCATTTTTAAATAAAATGAAACCATAATGGTACCACAATGGTTTCATTTGATGAAAAAAAAAAAATATATATATATATATCATATATCATATATGTGTGTGTGTTAAATTTAGAGCCTGTGATTGTAATTAACAACCAAGAATCAAAGGAGAAATGAAAGAGAAACTTTAAAACAAATGGGATTTCAAGTAAAGAAAAATGGAAACACAGCTTACCCAGAACTGTGATGCATTTGCATTTCTGAAGAACATTCACAACAAATTCTCTACAAACAAAACTATTGTTAGTAAACAATTTCATGTTATACCACATAACCTAGAAAATAAGTGGGAAAACTAAACCAAAAGTTAATAAAGGGGAGATAATTATCCCTGGAAATTAATTGAAATAAAAGTCAGGGAAGTAATAGGTTAGCTTGCCAAAAATCAAAGTTACAGAGTTCTCTCAAGATTGAAAAAAACAAAAACAAACAAACAAACAAAAAAAACTGCTACTGTGTATCAAGCTCAGTGTAGAAGCTCTGCCTTGCATATTCAAAGTCCTAAGTTCACTTATCAGAAAACAAAGATTAATTAAATTTAATAAGAACAAGCACAAGGGTGAATATAAAACAGAAATTAAAAAAAAAATATGTGACAACCACAGTTGAAGAAATACTAATAACCAGGAGAGGATGGACTCCTAAGCAACCACCCTGCCAGAAAAGGAAACTCTTCTTATGAAAGTACTACCTACAAACCTGAAAAACAAAGGGGAATGTTTTACAGACCTGCAATTAGTACAGTGAATTAGTCAAATGTTTCTCAGTATAAAATCCCAGTCTCCGGTAGGTTTAAGGCTAAATTATACTGAACTTTACATACTAAGTTTTCTGATGACCTGGTTAATTTTCGTTGTCTGTTTTTGTTTGTTTGGTGCAAGCTAGAATATTCAGGGAAGAAGGAACTCAAATAAAAATGCAATTGCCATCCAAGTCCTGTAGCCAATCTGTGGAACATTTTCTCAATTGATGATTGAAGTGGACTGGCCCAGTGTGCTGCTGTGGGCAGTGCCATCACTGGGCAGGTGTTAAGGGGTCCTATACAAATACAGCCTGAAAAAAAAAATCATGGAGTGCAGCCAGTAAGCAGTACTATTTCATGGCCTTTGCTTCAGTTCTTGCTTCCAGGTTCCTACCTTGAGTTGATACGCTGACTTCCCTTTCAAAGGACTGTAAGATGAAAACTTACCCAAATAAACTTTTCTTCCTATGCTGCTTTTGGGCAGAATGTTTACTAGTGATAGGACACAAACTAAGATGACACTCGAAACCTGAAAAAGGGGGAAGAAGGGGGAAATGATGATAATTGTTTTTAGCAGCGCCTGAAGAGAAATTTTAATTCAGAAACAGCTTCTCTGGAAAGGAGGCACATACAAAGAACTTATAGGAATATGCGATCTGGCTGGAATGGAGACACTCTGCATTACAATATGATTTGGCTGGGATCCAGACACACCCTTAGTTCATGTACACCTGTAACGAAGAAAATTATAGTTTAATGATGTTTATTTAGTGTTTCTTGAATGAATACACTCATTCATGTTGAACTATTTTTATACATATGCAATATTATTAGAAGTATTAAGTAGTTATTAAGTTTTGAGATGCACATTTAAAAAATACAATAATTCCATGGTGAAAAACAAAACTTTTCTATACATTCTTCACTCCTTTTTTATCCCTTTGATTGCTGGTAATATATGAGAAATATTTCTCTTTCCTAAAAGAAGAGGCAAGGACTCTGTTGAGCAGACATCATCAGACAACAAACATGTTCATGCTTTGATCATACCCTGATATAGTAAGAGACAACTGCAGATCTTACAACTCTAGATCTAAGAAAAATAAATTTATTCTGCTTTAAAAGTACCTAAGCTTGGCAGTTTGTTTCAGAAATAAAAATTGGCAATGATACTTCATGCTTTAAATGGCTAATACATCCACATTTTAAGAAATGTAAGTCAACTGCAAGGAAATGATTAAACTAAGTAAAAATCAGCTAAAGGCTTGAGTACTTACTGCCTTAAAATTGTTCAAATAATGTCAATATAAAGTGATATTTATCATTACTGATAATTAGAAAATGAAGAATAAGCAAAGCAAGGAAAAACATCTCTCACCTGTCAGTGATTATTACCACACAGACAAAACACAAGCTGGGAAGATTGCAGAAAAGGACTTCTCATGCATAGTTAGTGGAGATTAAATCTACACAGTCATTAAAGAAAAGACTCAAGAGAACACATGGGATATTACTACCATTAGCTACCAGCCGAAAGGTCTGAGGAATGTCAAATATTATGCAAACTGTAGTCCAGAAATCTCACTGGAATATATTCAGAAATACTGAGAGTCAGTTGTCATTAAGTTTCTTCAAAAATTCAAAATGAATACAAGTATTTAAAATGTGAGCCATTTTTATATTCCTGTCATACATCAAAACACAAATGCAGAGTCCCGTCTTCACAGCAGAATCTATGGGTTTGAAAGCGTCGAAAGGTGAAGTGTAACATGACTCATAACATGAGTCCCTGAATTGGAAAAACGTACGCTTGATATGTACACAGATCTCTACATACACATACACATTTGATCAGCATAATCTATTATTGACTAGGAGACAGTGATGACAATATTTAAAAAAAATAGTTTATGATTAATCAAACAGAATCCAATCTCATTCTGTGTAGATCTAATTTGGGTGCAGTTATTTAGGGACCAGGGGTGATTATGTGTTCAATAGCTGAATTTAGTTTGTTTGACAACAATGGAGGTAAATTTCTGGTTTACAAACACATTCTTAAAATGTGGGAATGGAAGAATGTTATCAATGAATACATTGTTCTCTTAAATGTTTTCAATTCTCCAACTTAGAAAAACTCCCTACCTGCTTTTGGCATATTCAGAAAAATAATTAAATTCAAACTGAGAGCATGAGTGTTGATGATGGATTACTTCTTCTCCAAGATTTTGCTTTTCTTGGACATGTTCCAAACTGGATAATAACTAGGAAGGAGCCATTTTTGGAATAAATTTATTAGGAGGAGATAAATATTTATTAATCATGCAATTTATAATTTTGAGAGACTAAATACATTTTATAGTAAACTGTTACAACTTAAACGCAAAATAATGTTTATTTTAGTTATTTGTTCCATAATTCAATATGAGAGTAATAATTTGGAGTATATTAGTTGATATTTGGTATTATGTGTTGTCAGTAATTGCATGATAAACTGCTTATAAGTAACAGTGGATAACAAGCTTTTAAATTTCATGTGAATCATTAAACACAGTTACTTTGTACATTTCATGAGTAATTTAGTTTTCTAAAGTTTTTATGACTTCATATAAATTGAATTTCTTGCATGTAACATTAGTAGAAAATCACTGCTGTTTTCTGTAATCTAATAATATATTGTAGAGATAGTTCCCTTCCTCAAGTAATGTGAAATTGACTGTTTCTGAAACAAAGTACAATTATACTTTATTTTACTCATATTTTCATACACAAATGTCTATGAATAAATTGTAACATATCCATACTCTGTGACTCAAACAGTGAAGGTTTTCTTGAATGCAATATAGATGTCTATATTTGTCTGTTTTTCACAGATAGTAATATAATTTTGTAACATATTTCAGTTTTAAAATGTTAAATTAATTCTGCCAACTTGAAAGAAAAATGTAGGAAAATTGATACTGATGATATTTCTTGTTCTACAATTTAATTTTGTAATAACTTATGAGCTTACATGCATAATATTTGACATTTCACATAGAATATTGTATTCATTTTATATCAGAAGGTTATAATAATATTTTTGTATTCTTGAAAAATTTGAATACTGGTTAGCATCTACCTGGTGTTGGTAGTAATTTATATTAACATTTAAACTGGATGTTTATGTTTAACCCTTGTAATTTCTTTTGGAGCTCTGTATACATAACTATTTTTCAGATAAGAAAACTTGGGCTTAAAGAAGTTAAATACAATTAATTAAAATTAATACAAGAAGGTACCCAGTGGTAGGGGGACAGAGGTTTCCTTTTAGTTTTGATGTGAAGTCTTCACTCTTAGTAGCCATGTACTGTAAAAAGTAAAGCCACAATAATAATGATAATTATTATTTACTACAAGAATTTAGAAGAGCAATCTGCAAAGGAAATGGATGAATTCTACAGAAAATAATGGACATGATCAGTCCAAAAGTTTTGAGACACTGATTACTGTCAATCACCATATGAATTCACTTGGCCAATATTTAAGACATAATGCCCAGACCACCATGTATTTTACTAATTCTTGATATTATCAGATTTCTGACAGAGAGTGGCTTAATTGTGCCCAGACTCCTGGTAATTAATACAGTAAGATTGCTCTCTATGTGCTGTTTCAGTGGGTACCAGTTTGGAATGGGTAATAGTTTATATTGAAATGGGCTAAGTGTCTTAAGTTTGCTATTGCTGTGATGTGACACAATGACTAAAGTTTCTTGAGGAGTAAAGACCTCATTTAGCTCATGCTTCCATACCATTGTCCATCATAGAAGGAAGTCAGCACAGGAACTAAGATGGGGCAGAGACTTGGAGGTAGGAGCTGATGCAGAGACAATGAAGGTGTGCTGCTTACTAGCTTGGTCTTCATTACTTGTTCAACCTGCTTTCTTACGGAACCCAAGACCACTGGCCCAGGGATGGCACAGCACCAACAATGGGCTGATCCTTCCACTATCAGTCATTAATTAAGACAAATTCCTTACTAATAAAGCTACTATGAACATAGATATACAGGTATTCTTGTGATGGAGTAGAATGTCTTTGATGGATATGCCCAGGAGTCCTATAGCTTGGTCATTTCTCAAATTTCTGAGAAACCAATATATTCATTTTCAAAGTGGCTGTACAAGTTTGCACTCCCACCAGCAATGGAGGAGTGCTCTCCTTGTTCCGCA